AATAAAGTTTGATGCGGGCTAGAGCTAACGAGTCGTTAAGCCACTGCGGACCTGAACGGATTCGAAGCGGCTGAATTTGTAAGGCGAACCGTTCACTCATGAATGAAAACCGGGGTGGTGGTGGTGGGGGCTACAATGTGGAGAAAAGGAGGCTTCGTTTTTATCCCCGATGTATTTCAGATCATTTTTTTTTCCCTTGGGAATTGGGACTGTGTTCCCCGTTTCCGATTTTAGAAGACCCCCAACTGCCCTTCAGCGTGATCCTTGTAGATGTCCACTTGTTTAAAAGCCCACTCTTAAGAAAGTACAGCACTTTCGAAACTAGGTTGGAAAGAGAAATCCCAACGACAAATAAAGTTAAAACATTCGGGCAAGTGGCCTTTTTTTTTTCTGGAGTTGGCGTCACAATTCGCATGCTTTCCTTTGGCTTCCAGGTGAAACGAGCCTTCGCTAGCAACTCAATAGAAAATCATCAAGTTATTATGCCGTATGGTCAACTGGAAACACAGCATATTAAACAATTCCTGATTAATTGTTTTCTTGAGTTATTTTTTTTTTAAATGTTCCCTGCCCAAAAAAAGAGCGAATGGATTTTGGTTGTGATCTACACATTTCGGTGCCGATTTGTGCATTCTAGAAATGATGTCCTTCGTAGCCGTTGGCGAATGGCATCCTTTCTAGAACAAACTGATGGGCATTTCCTGATTTAAATTATAAATCTGTTTCTACCAATTTCGTTGTGTACAACCAATTGTATATACACAACTAGCCGACAGCCCGGCATTGCCCAGGTATTTATTTATAGGGGTAAAATGTCCGGACCAAATGTCATTTCTATGTTGGATTTTCCCCCTTACCAGAGGGAGCCCCCTTGGGGAGTACTGAGAAGCCGTTACCATGGCAACTCCACCGTGCTGTACAGTAGAAGCTATTTTATGGCACAACAGGCTGTATCTTAACAGAACACACATACTAATGGGTGTTAGGGGGATCTTACCCCCACAGTATTTGTTTCCAGTGAGTAAGTCATCTGTTTATCAAGTATGGTTGAAATTGCTNCTCACTTTTTCTTTCTTTTTTCTTTTTTTCTTTTTTTCTTTTTTTCTTTATTCCTTTCTTTCTCTTTCTCGCTCTGTGTGAGTCTCTCTCTGTGTGTGTGTCAGTGGTGGGTTTCAAAAAATTTTGGAACCTCTTCTGTAGGTGTGGCCTGCTTTCTGGTGGAACCTCTTCTAACTGGTTCGGTAGATTTGACGAACCGGTTCTACTGAACTGGTGGGAACCCACCTCTGTTTACAGCCCTCTCTAAGTGGTTTACAGAGTCAGCCTCTTGCCCTCGACAATCTGGGTCCTCGTTTACTGACCTCGGAAGGATGGCAGGCTGGATCTACCTTTTTGGATCCTCTACCTTTCAGAAGCAATTAAGGGCTGTAATTTTCCGGGTGAGCTCTTAAGACCGCTAGAGAGTGTTTTGTTTATATCACACCAAGCCCTGGTTTGTGCTCTTTGTAGTTTGACAAACTTGAATGGATTGTCTTCACACCCTGCTTACCCCTTCCACTAAGCCAAAACCAAACAAGCCCATTATGGCTTGTTGTGATGTGTCAGCGCAGATAGTGCTTTATTGTGTGTTTTCTCCAAACAGTGTAAAAGTCAGTATTCATTTGAGGTGGGCAGGGGGATGATGAATTAAAAGAGATCTCAACTTTCTTTTTTTTCTACATAGATATTTTATTTATACATTTTCCTTTGGTATACATAAAAACTCAATATTCACATTGACAGTGTGTTGTCTGGGTACAATTGATTTTGAATAATGATAACAAAAATTTTAACAGTGCTATTTATAACAAGTACCATCAAAACAAATTCATCATCACATTTGCTTATCCTTAATTATTCCCCTTACGTTATTTAATTAAACATTATTTTCAATTTTAAGTTCCTAACTTCTGCTTCGATTTTCTAGCCACTGATCAAATGTCTCTGGTATTTAAAAGTATTCCTCCTTATCTTTCAGTTGCATTATTAATCTATCCATCTCGGCACATTCTAATATTTTCTTTATTATACACTTTCCTCTGCACGAATATTTTTTTCAATGTTGTGCAAATGCAATTCTTGCTGCTGTTAAAACATGTAAAATTAAGTATGTATTTCCTTTGTTGTAATTTTCTGCTAAGATACACAATAAAAATAATTCTGGTTTTAAGTCTATTTATTGTTTTATTATTTCTCCTAGCCATTTTCATATTTTTATCCAATATTTTTTTGCCTTTGGGTTAGGGTTAGGTTTTCCACTTCCAAAGGCAAAGAGATCTCAACTTTATTTGCTGCTTTGGAAAGTTTAACCCCAAGGCCAGGGGTTTTTTTTCCTGCCTTGGTTGAGCAGCTTTTATCAGTGTGGCTATTATTTTGTGTTTTGAGACTGTTTTATCTTCCTGGCAGTTCGAAGCTGAGTTTCGCCGTTTTGCCATGAAGAGGTCCAGCGTGGGTGGTTTCCAGGAATTCTACCAGCTGATCCAGAGGGTGCACCAGATCCCTTGTTCGGAGGTTCTCCTGGGATACACAGACATCCATGGAGATTTGCTTCCCATCAACAATGATGATAACTATCACAAGGCTCTGTCTTCGGCCAATCCTCTTCTCCGGATCATCATCCAGAAGAGAGGTAGGACAAACCTTGAGGATTAACCCCCTTGCTTATGTTTTCTATTTCCAATGTGGTATGTGTTGTGGCCCGCCAGTGGAGCTGGCAGCAGATTCAGGCAGTGAGGAGGTTGGGGAGGAACATGGGCCAGTCCTGGAGTCTGGGGAAGGCTCTGATGAGGGCTCTATGTCGGAGGCAGAGAGGGGGCCAAGGCCGTATGCCAGTTATCAGCTGCCTTTGAAATCAGACATCAATGAGGCAGACAAAAAGCTGGAACCTGTTCCCAGTGTGCGCATGCGCAGAGTTGCCAGATGAAGGCAACAGCTAAAGGACAGGGGTTGACTTGGGAGTAAGGCCACACGTGGACGACCAATGGCCCCTCCCAGAGGAAATAAAAGAGGAGCGAAAGNTCTTAGCCACTGAGCCCCCGCGTCCCTTAAGACTTCCTTTACCTAATAACTTTTCAATATACAGGTAGTCCTCAACTTACAACCACAATTGAGGCTAACCTTTCTGTTGTGAGACATTTGTTAAGTGGTTTTGCCCTGTTTTACAGTATTCCTTGGCACAGCCCTGAAGTGAATCACTGCAGTTGTTAAGTTAGCAACCAGAATCCGGCTAACCCATTGATTTTGGTTGTCAGAAGGTCGCAGAAGGGGAACACATGATCCAGGGTCATAAATAGGAACCAGTTGCTAAGCATCTGAATTTTTATCACAAGGCCATGGGGATGCTGCAAAAGGTTGTAACGGTCATAAGTCACCTGTTTCAGTGCTGTTGTAAGGTTGAATTGCCACTAAATGGTCTGTTGTAAATCGAAGTCTACCTGTATCTATTTTTTAGCTGGTGAGCAGCTGCTAAAGCTTGACAGGTGCCTTCCAGGTGTGTTGGAGGTATGACCTTCCCAATTACGAGCAGTTGGCTGCCGATTGTCTTCGAACACAGTCCTAACATATCCCGAGGGCATTAGTTAGAAAAGCTTTTGTCAAGGAAAAAGTTTCTTTTCCATTTCGGTGATTCTGTTGATTGCCGGGCTCAACTCAGGCTGGGAAGATCAGAAATTCAAGGCATGAATTCGCAGTTAGCTGAGATTAAAATCAAAGGTTTTGAGAGCAGGAAATGAGCTAACTCTAATGACATGCTCGGCCACTGTATCCATTTTTCCATTTAAGCTGTAAGTATAAAAGAGAAGATGCTGTGTTATACATATTTGCTGTCTGAGAACAACTTTCATTCTCTTCCTTGAGTACAAAGTCATGTATCAACTCAAAACTGACTACATGTCTGTTCAGGTCGTCCTTGACTCGCGACCACAATTGAGCCCAAAATTTCTGTTGCTAAGCAAGATGTTTATTAAGTGAGCTTTGCCCCGCCTGACGACCCTTCTTGCCACTGTTAAGTGAACCACTGAAGTTGATAAGTTAGTAACAAGTTAGTTGTTAAGTGAATCATTGCCGTTCTTAAATTCATAAGCGGTGGTTAGGTGAAACTACCTTCCCTGTTGCCTTTGCTTGCCAAAAGGTCGCAAAGAGTGACACTGCAACCGTCATAACTATGAGTCAGTTGCCAAGCATCTGAATTTTGATCACGTGACCACTGGGAGGCTGGAATGGATGTTAATTGTGAAAAATGATCGTAAGTCACTTTTTTCAGTACCATTGTTACTTTGGTCACTAAACAAACTGTTGTAAGTCAAGGACTTCCTGTATAGTATTTAGCAGAAGGCCCAAACTATCAAAACAATCCTGAATAGCAATAGCACTTAGACTTATATACCGCTTCACAGTGCTTTACAGTGGTGGGTTTCAAAAATTTTTCGAACCTACTCTGTGGGTGTGGCCTCCTTGGTGGGGGTGGCTTGACGACCATGTGACCAAAGTGGGAGTGGCTTGCCAGCCATGTGTTTT